CCCACTGTGACTGGACCCACTGTGACTGGACCCACTGTGACTGGACCCACTGTGACTGGACCCACTGTGACTGGACCCACTGTGACTGGACCCACTGTGACTGGACCCACTGTGACTGGACCCACTGTGACTGGACCCACTGTGACTGGACCCACTGTGACTGGACCCACTGTGACTGGACCCACTGTGACTGGACCCACTGTGACTGGACCCACTGTGACTGGACCCACTGTGACTGGACCCACTGTGACTGGACCCACTGTGACTGGACCCACTGTGACTGGACCCACTGTGACTGGACCCACTGTGACTGGACCCACTGTGACTGGACCCACTGTGACTGGACCCACTGTGACTGGACCCACTGTGACTGGACCCACTGTGACTGGACCCACTGTGACTGGACCCACTGTGACTGGACCCACTGTGACTGGACCCACTGTGACTGGACCCACTGTGACTGGACCCACTGTGACTGGACCCACTGTGACTGGACCCACTGTGACTGGACCCACTGTGACTGGACCCACTGTGACTGGACCCACTGTGACTGGACCCACTGTGACTGGACCCACTGTGACTGGACCCACTGTGACTGGACCCACTGTGACTGGACCCACTGTGACTGGACCCACTGTGACTGGACCCACTGTGACTGGACCCACTGTGACTGGACCCACTGTGACTGGACCCACTGTGACTGGACCCACTGTGACTGGACCCACTGTGACTGGACCCACTGTGACTGGACCCACTGTGACTGGACCCACTGTGACTGGACCCACTGTGACTGGACCCACTGTGACTGGACCCACTGTGACTGGACCCACTGTGACTGGACCCACTGTGACTGGACCCACTGTGACTGGACCCACTGTGACTGGACCCACTGTGACTGGACCCACTGTGACTGGACCCACTGTGACTGGACCCACTGTGACTGGACCCACTGTGACTGGACCCACTGTGACTGGACCCACTGTGACTGGACCCACTGTGACTGGACCCACTGTGACTGGACCCACTGTGACTGGACCCACTGTGACTGGACCCACTGTGACTGGACCCACTGTGACTGGACCCACTGTGACTGGACCCACTGTGACTGGACCCACTGTGACTGGACCCACTGTGACTGGACCCACTGTGACTGGACCCACTGTGACTGGACCCACTGTGACTGGACCCACTGTGACTGGACCCACTGTGACTGGACCCACTGTGACTGGACCCACTGTGACTGGACCCACTGTGACTGGACCCACTGTGACTGGACCCACTGTGACTGGACCCACTGTGACTGGACCCACTGTGACTGGACCCACTGTGACTGGACCCACTGTGACTGGACCCACTGTGACTGGACCCACTGTGACTGGACCCACTGTGACTGGACCCACTGTGACTGGACCCACTGTGACTGGACCCACTGTGACTGGACCCACTGTGACTGGACCCACTGTGACTGGACCCACTGTGACTGGACCCACTGTGACTGGACCCACTGTGACTGGACCCACTGTGACTGGACCCACTGTGACTGGACCCACTGTGACTGGACCCACTGTGACTGGACCCACTGTGACTGGACCCACTGTGACTGGACCCACTGTGACTGGACCCACTGTGACTGGACCCACTGTGACTGGACCCACTGTGACTGGACCCACTGTGACTGGACCCACTGTGACTGGACCCACTGTGACTGGACCCACTGTGACTGGACCCACTGTGACTGGACCCACTGTGACTGGACCCACTGTGACTGGACCCACTGTGACTGGACCCACTGTGACTGGACCCACTGTGACTGGACCCACTGTGACTGGACCCACTGTGACTGGACCCACTGTGACTGGACCCACTGTGACTGGACCCACTGTGACTGGACCCACTGTGACTGGACCCACTGTGACTGGACCCACTGTGACTGGACCCACTGTGACTGGACCCACTGTGACTGGACCCACTGTGACTGGACCCACTGTGACTGGACCCACTGTGACTGGACCCACTGTGACTGGACCCACTGTGACTGGACCCACTGTGACTGGACCCACTGTGACTGGACCCACTGTGACTGGACCCACTGTGACTGGACCCACTGTGACTGGACCCACTGTGACTGGACCCACTGTGACTGGACCCACTGTGACTGGACCCACTGTGACTGGACCCACTGTGACTGGACCCACTGTGACTGGACCCACTGTGACTGGACCCACTGTGACTGGACCCACTGTGACTGGACCCACTGTGACTGGACCCACTGTGACTGGACCCACTGTGACTGGACCCACTGTGACTGGACCCACTGTGACTGGACCCACTGTGACTGGACCCACTGTGACTGGACCCACTGTGACTGGACCCACTGTGACTGGACCCACTGTGACTGGACCCACTGTGACTGGACCCACTGTGACTGGACCCACTGTGACTGGACCCACTGTGACTGGACCCACTGTGACTGGACCCACTGTGACTGGACCCACTGTGACTGGACCCACTGTGACTGGACCCACTGTGACTGGACCCACTGTGACTGGACCCACTGTGACTGGACCCACTGTGACTGGACCCACTGTGACTGGACCCACTGTGACTGGACCCACTGTGACTGGACCCACTGTGACTGGACCCACTGTGACTGGACCCACTGTGACTGGACCCACTGTGACTGGACCCACTGTGACTGGACCCACTGTGACTGGACCCACTGTGACTGGACCCACTGTGACTGGACCCACTGTGACTGGACCCACTGTGACTGGACCCACTGTGACTGGACCCACTGTGACTGGACCCACTGTGACTGGACCCACTGTGACTGGACCCACTGTGACTGGACCCACTGTGACTGGACCCACTGTGACTGGACCCACTGTGACTGGACCCACTGTGACTGGACCCACTGTGACTGGACCCACTGTGACTGGACCCACTGTGACTGGACCCACTGTGACTGGACCCACTGTGACTGGACCCACTGTGACTGGACCCACTGTGACTGGACCCACTGTGACTGGACCCACTGTGACTGGACCCACTGTGACTGGACCCACTGTGACTGGACCCACTGTGACTGGACCCACTGTGACTGGACCCACTGTGACTGGACCCACTGTGACTGGACCCACTGTGACTGGACCCACTGTGACTGGACCCACTGTGACTGGACCCACTGTGACTGGACCCACTGTGACTGGACCCACTGTGACTGGACCCACTGTGACTGGACCCACTGTGACTGGACCCACTGTGACTGGACCCACTGTGACTGGACCCACTGTGACTGGACCCACTGTGACTGGACCCACTGTGACTGGACCCACTGTGACTGGACCCACTGTGACTGGACCCACTGTGACTGGACCCACTGTGACTGGACCCACTGTGACTGGACCCACTGTGACTGGACCCACTGTGACTGGACCCACTGTGACTGGACCCACTGTGACTGGACCCACTGTGACTGGACCCACTGTGACTGGACCCACTGTGACTGGACCCACTGTGACTGGACCCACTGTGACTGGACCCACTGTGACTGGACCCACTGTGACTGGACCCACTGTGACTGGACCCACTGTGACTGGACCCACTGTGACTGGACCCACTGTGACTGGACCCACTGTGACTGGACCCACTGTGACTGGACCCACTGTGACTGGACCCACTGTGACTGGACCCACTGTGACTGGACCCACTGTGACTGGACCCACTGTGACTGGACCCACTGTGACTGGACCCACTGTGACTGGACCCACTGTGACTGGACCCACTGTGACTGGACCCACTGTGACTGGACCCACTGTGACTGGACCCACTGTGACTGGACCCACTGTGACTGGACCCACTGTGACTGGACCCACTGTGACTGGACCCACTGTGACTGGACCCACTGTGACTGGACCCACTGTGACTGGACCCACTGTGACTGGACCCACTGTGACTGGACCCACTGTGACTGGACCCACTGTGACTGGACCCACTGTGACTGGACCCACTGTGACTGGACCCACTGTGACTGGACCCACTGTGACTGGACCCACTGTGACTGGACCCACTGTGACTGGACCCACTGTGACTGGACCCACTGTGACTGGACCCACTGTGACTGGACCCACTGTGACTGGACCCACTGTGACTGGACCCACTGTGACTGGACCCACTGTGACTGGACCCACTGTGACTGGACCCACTGTGACTGGACCCACTGTGACTGGACCCACTGTGACTGGACCCACTGTGACTGGACCCACTGTGACTGGACCCACTGTGACTGGACCCACTGTGACTGGACCCACTGTGACTGGACCCACTGTGACTGGACCCACTGTGACTGGACCCACTGTGACTGGACCCACTGTGACTGGACCCACTGTGACTGGACCCACTGTGACTGGACCCACTGTGACTGGACCCACTGTGACTGGACCCACTGTGACTGGACCCACTGTGACTGGACCCACTGTGACTGGACCCACTGTGACTGGACCCACTGTGACTGGACCCACTGTGACTGGACCCACTGTGACTGGACCCACTGTGACTGGACCCACTGTGACTGGACCCACTGTGACTGGACCCACTGTGACTGGACCCACTGTGACTGGACCCACTGTGACTGGACCCACTGTGACTGGACCCACTGTGACTGGACCCACTGTGACTGGACCCACTGTGACTGGACCCACTGTGACTGGACCCACTGTGACTGGACCCACTGTGACTGGACCCACTGTGACTGGACCCACTGTGACTGGACCCACTGTGACTGGACCCACTGTGACTGGACCCACTGTGACTGGACCCACTGTGACTGGACCCACTGTGACTGGACCCACTGTGACTGGACCCACTGTGACTGGACCCACTGTGACTGGACCCACTGTGACTGGACCCACTGTGACTGGACCCACTGTGACTGGACCCACTGTGACTGGACCCACTGTGACTGGACCCACTGTGACTGGACCCACTGTGACTGGACCCACCTGTGAATGGAGCCCCCCGAGATGAATTCGAGGAAGATGTAGAGCGAGCCATCACTTTCATCTTTCTCCATGTCAATATACGCCACGATGTGCCGGTGCCGCATCTGCCGGTACAGCACAATCTCCTGCTCCAGTGCCGCGATGTGCATCGCCTTCTCGTCGCCCGCTGATGTCATCTTGATCTGCTTCACCGCCATTAATTCTCCAGTCATTTCATTCAGACCCAGGAAGACCTATGTTTGGGGGAGAAAGGTTTCGGATGGGGATGTGGTGCAGCGGGGTGGAGTGAGGTGGAGCAGGGTGGGCGCTGTCATCTTCTGCTTCACTGCCATCAGCTCTCCCGACATCTCGTTCAGACCCAGGAACACCTGGAGGGGTTACAGAGGTGGTGCGGTGGAGAGGGATGAAATGGGGTATGGAGTGCGGTGGAGTGGGGTGGAGAGGGGTGGGGAGGGGGTGTGAAAGTTAGTAGTGCCGCATCTGATCGTACAGTTTCATCTTGATCTGCTCACCGCCATCAGCTCGCCTGTCGTCTCGTTCAGACCCAAAAAGCCCTGCATTAGGGGAGTGAGGTGGAGTCCAGTGGGGTGGAGTGCGGTGGATGGAGTGGGGTGGGTGCTGGTAAGCGCAGCACGTTCACGAGTCACCGGCAAGCAGTCAAGGAGCTTTACACACACACACCTTGCCATAGACGCCTTCACCCAGCAGCTCGCCCCATTTCCACTTCATCGTGCCCAGTGGGGCCATCGCCTCATCCCCCATCCCCCATCCCCCATCCCCCATCCCCCATCAAACAAAGTTTCCGACAACAAGGTCAAGCATCACTCCACAGGCAAGAAATCAACTAGTATCACAACCCGGCGACAACCATAACAAGCACGCAGCGAGCTATACATGGTCAAAGTGACGAGGCGAGTAATACTAGACTCGTCACAGGCCATGCTCGCCGAGCATTTGCCCCGAGTCGAGCAAACCTCGAACGAGCATTTTGGTACTTTTGGCCTACTCGAGGCTCGTCGTTTTGGTACATACTCGGGCGAGTATGTGAGAATACTCGCCCGAGCATCGAAATACTCGACTCGCCCCTATCTGCGTGCACCTGTTGCCCTACTTATATAGTACCAAACGCGACCTATTTTAACAAGCCACTGGCGACACTAACATGACGCGCGCTAAGCTTAGAGTTGCGTGGGTAGGGTGACGACTAGGCATTGAGCCGTTGAATGTGCAAATGTTGTCGATCCTATACACAAAGTGGTTGGGAACATTTGCCGGGTTCAGATCTGGGGTCAGATTTTCCCGCCAAATTTGACCCCCAGGCAAATTCTACGCGACAAGCTTTACATGCTCGACGAGCAAAAAAAAAAACTCGTCGAGCATAAAACGAGCACGAAAATGCTCGTCTTAGCGCACGAGCATGTGACGAGTATAAAAAGCTCGGCGAGCATTACTCGGCTCGACTCGGACGAGTAATTTTGCCAAAAAATCATGCTCGCCACTCGTCCCCTAACGAGCATTTCGAACGAGTCGAGTAAAAACCCTACACTCGTTGCCCATGTATACAGCGAGCACAACACGCATGCACGCACGCACCTTGCCGTAAGCCCCCTCGCCCAGCAGTTCGCCTCGCTTCCATTTCATCGTGCCCAGGGGAGCCATCGCCTCCCCATCCATCAGCTCCTTCCCCCCCGCTGCTGCTGCTGCGGCCGGTGATGCCTTCTCTTCAACCCCATCCTTCTTCCCCCCATCCTTCTTCTCCTCTTTCTTCTCCCCTTCCTTCTTAACTTCCCCTCCGTCCTTCTTCTCCCCATCCCCTGCCTTCTTCCCACCCCCACCAGCATCCCGGTTATTAGGGTTGGTGGGGCAGTCACACTGCAGCTTGCCACACGCCACACACCCGCCTAGGAGTGCATCTTTCCTCCAATCTTGCCTGATCAGCATCACGTCTTCTTCAGATACCTTCTCAGGTGAAGGGGTGCTTGCTCCCGCGCTGCCACCGCTGCTGCCACCACCACTAGCACTCGCACCAGCGCTAGCACTAGCACTAGCACTAGCACTAGCAGCAGCACTGCCTGCTGCTGTTGCGCCTGCTGCTGCTCGTCTGTTACTAGGCGACACAGGCACCTGCGCCCCTGCCTTCTTCTCCTCCTCCTTCCCACCGCCACCCTTCCTCTCCTCCCCTCCACTCTCCCCCTCCTTCTCCTTCTTCTCCCCCTCTCCATCCGTCGGCAGTGCAAACTTCACCGATTTCCGTTCCCTCGCCCCCTTGGGCGTCATCCGCCCGCTCCCCCTCCCCCTCCCCCTCCGCGCCCTCCTCATGCCCGCTCCCCCCTCTAAGCGGGCTCCTCGCCCGTCCCCCCCCACTCCCCCCCGGTCCCCCGCCCCCTGCTCCCCCGCCCCCACTGGGAGTGAGTGGTTTCTTCTGAGCAGCGGCCCCCTCGTCCTCAAAGCCTGCCGGCTCCCCCACCCGCAGCGAGGCGGGTCTTCTGGCGGAGTCCCCTGCAGAGGGGGACCGAGACGGGGCCACCGAAACCCCTCCGCCTGCCCCTGCCCCTGCGCCCCCACCAGTGCCAGCAGCGCCGCCTGATGCTGCTCCGCCAGTACCTGCTCCTCCTCCTCCTCCTCCTCCTGCTGCTGCTGCTGCTGCTGCTGCTACTCCTCTGTTTGGTAACCGCCTGCCAGTGTCGCTGTCGCTGTCTCCGTGCTTCCCAGCCTCCCCTTCCCGATCCTCTGCTGCCGCAGCGGACGCAGGAGCAGCAACACGAGGCAGCCTCCCGCTGTGCCCCTCCGCCCCCCCCACCCCTCCCCCTCCTCCCTCCAGCATCGCAGCTCCATTCCACGACGCATACATGTTCTCCCTCCCCACGCGCCCCCCCGGCCCCCCCACATGCTGCCGCCTCTCCCCGCCCATCCCCGCCCCGCCCCGCACAACTCCCCCGTCCTCCCTCTCATCATCCGAGCTCGCTTTCCCGCCACCACCTGCCACATCCCCTGCGCGCCCCCCTCTCCCCCCATACGGATTTCCAAACACATCCACCATCCCCCTCGCCCCTCCCCCAGACGATTTCGCGTCCAAAGACCCCCGCCTGCCCCCGCCCCCAACCCCAAGGTCCAACCTTCCCATGCTAGCCGAATCCACGCTATCATAGGGGGACCTTCCCCGCATGCCCCCTCTCCCAGGCGTCCCAGGTCCGCCGCCCCCAGGTACGCCTCCCCCAGCCCCCCCTGCTCCGCCCGCCCCTCCCCCTCCGCCTGCTGCTGCCTGCCCCACGAGGCGCTCGGCACGGAAATCAGCGAAGTTGCGCGGGCGGGGCTGGGCGGCCAGACGCGACCGGTCTGCTGAGATGGCCGCGCCTGCTGGGATTGGGGTGGAGGGGGAGGGGAAGGGGGGTAGGGGAGGGGAAGGGTCAGGTCAGACCGCCTGCTGCTGCTGCTGCCTGCCCCACGAGGCGCTCCGCATGGAAATCAGCGAAGTTGCGCGGGCGGGGCTGGGCGGCCAGACGCGACCGGTCTGCTGAGATGGCCGCGCCTGCTGGGATTGGGGTGGAGGGGGAGGGGAAGGGGGGTAGGGGAGGGGAAGGGTCAGGTCAGGCCGCCTGCTGCTGCTGCTGCCTGCCCCACGAGGCGCTCCGCATGGAAATCAGCGAAGTTGCGCGGGCGGGGCTGGGCGGCCAGACGTGAGCGGTCTGCTGTGATGGCCGCACCTGCTGCATTGGAAGTGGAGGGAGAAGGGAGAGGGAAGGGGTTGACGACAAGAGGGTTTTGGGGGATGGGCTGTGGTCAGGGACACAAGGGGATGCGCGGGTGCAGCACACAAAGGGTACAATTGCGCGGGCAGGGCTGGGGCAGACGTGACCGATCTGTAATGGCCGCCACGACTGCTGCATTGGAGGAGGTTGGACCGGGAGGATGAAGGGGGGAAGGGAGTTGGGGGAGGGGGAGCGGAGAGGGGGTTTGGGTCAGAGGCCGGAGGGAATACAAGGGCATCGCTGCACAGCCGAGGCTGGGCAGGCGGGGGAGACAGAGGGGTAGGTGCGGGGAATAACGAGTCAGCAGAAGAACTGGAAGAGGGGTTTTAGGCGCCTGAAAAACCGAGGCTGGGCGGGAGAGACAGAGGGGTGCGCGCAGGGAATAACGACTCAGTGGAAAAAATGGAAGAGGGCGCGTGAGCAGGCGAACAGGAGAGACGGGCAGAGGAAGGCAGCAGACGTGCAGAGAGGCAGACGAAAGAGGCAGAGAGGGGAGCGGCAGAGAGAAGAGGGGAGAATAGGAATAAGAGAACAGTGGAGCATAGGAAAGAGGAATGGACAGCAGAGAGCACAGAGAAGCAGAGAGAGCAACAGGCGAACAAGAGAGACAGCAGCAGAAGCAGTGAGGCAGTAGGGGAAGCAGAGAGGCAGTAGGGGAAGCAGAGAGGCAGTAGGGGAAGCAGAGAGGCAGTAGGGGAAGCAGAGAGGCAGCAAGGAGGCAGAGAGGCAGCAAGGAGGCAGAGAGGCAGCAAGGAGGCAGAGAGGCAGCAAGGAGGCAGAGAGGCAGCAAGGAGGCAGAGAGGCAGCGAGGAGGCAGAGAGGCAGCGAGGAGGCAGAGAGGCAGCGAGGAGGCAGAGAGGCAGCGAGGAGGCAGAGAGGCAGCGAGGAGGCAGAGAGGCAGCAAGGAGGCAGAGAGGCAGCGAGGAGGCAGAGAGGCAGCGAGGAGGCAGAGAGGCAGCGAGGAGGCAGAGAGGCAGCGAGGAGGCAGAGAGGCAGCGAGGAGGCAGAGAGGCAGCGGGAGGCAGAGAGGCAGCGAGGAGGCAGAGAGGCAGCGAGGAGGCAGAGAGGCAGCGAGGAGGCAGAGAGGCAGCGAGGAGGCAGAGAGGCAGCGAGGAGGCAGAGAGGCAGCGAGGAGGCAGAGAGGCAGCGAGGAGGCAGAGAGGCAGCGAGGAGGCAGAGAGGCAGCGAGGAGGCAGAGAGGCAGCGAGGAGGCAGAGAGGCAGCGAGGAGGCAGAGAGGCAGCGAGGAGGCAGAGAGGCAGCGAGGAGGCAGAGAGGCAGCGAGGAGGCAGAGAGGCAGCGAGGAGGCAGAGAGGCAGCGAGGAGGCAGAGAGGCAGCGAGGAGGCAGAGAGGCAGCGAGGAGGCAGAGAGGCAGCGAGGAGGCAGAGAGGCAGCGAGGAGGCAGAGAGGCAGCGAGGAGGCAGAGAGGCAGCGAGGAGGCAGAGAGGCAGCGAGGAGGCAGAGAGGCAGCGAGGAGGCAGAGAGGCAGCGAGGAGGCAGAGAGGCAGCGAGGAGGCAGAGAGGCAGCGAGGAGGCAGAGAGGCAGCGAGGAGGCAGAGAGGCAGCGAGGAGGCAGAGAGGCAGCGAGGAGGCAGAGAGGCAGCGAGGAGGCAGAGAGGCAGCGAGGAGGCAGAGAGGCAGCGAGGAGGCAGAGAGGCAGCGAGGAGGCAGAGAGGCAGCGAGGAGGCAGAGAGGCAGCGAGGAGGCAGAGAGGCAGCGAGGAGGCAGAGAGGCAGCGAGGAGGCAGAGAGGCAGCGAGGAGGCAGAGAGGCAGCGAGGAGGCAGAGAGGCAGCGAGGAGGCAGAGAGGCAGCGAGGAGGCAGAGAGGCAGCGAGGAGGCAGAGAGGCAGCGAGGAGGCAGAGAGGCAGCGAGGAGGCAGAGAGGCAGCGAGGAGGCAGAGAGGCAGCGAGGAGGCAGAGAGGCAGCGAGGAGGCAGAGAGGCAGCGAGGAGGCAGAGAGGCAGCGAGGAGGCAGAGAGGCAGCGAGGAGGCAGAGAGGCAGCGAGGAGGCAGAGAGGCAGCGAGGAGGCAGAGAGGCAGCGAGGAGGCAGAGAGGCAGCGAGGAGGCAGAGAGGCAGCGAGGAGGCAGAGAGGCAGCGAGGAGGCAGAGAGGCAGCGAGGAGGCAGAGAGGCAGCGAGGAGGCAGAGAGGCAGCGAGGAGGCAGAGAGGCAGCGAGGAGGCAGAGAGGCAGCGAGGAGGCAGAGAGGCAGCGAGGAGGCAGAGAGGCAGCGAGGAGGCAGAGAGGCAGCGAGGAGGCAGAGAGGCAGCGAGGAGGCAGAGAGGCAGCGAGGAGGCAGAGAGGCAGCGAGGAGGCAGAGAGGCAGCGAGGAGGCAGAGAGGCAGCGAGGAGGCAGAGAGGCAGCGAGGAGGCAGAGAGGCAGCGAGGAGGCAGAGAGGCAGCGAGGAGGCAGAGAGGCAGCGAGGAGGCAGAGAGGCAGCGAGGAGGCAGAGAGGCAGCGAGGAGGCAGAGAGGCAGCGAGGAGGCAGAGAGGCAGCGAGGAGGCAGAGAGGCAGCGAGGAGGCAGAGAGGCAGCGAGGAGGCAGAGAGGCAGCGAGGAGGCAGAGAGGCAGCGAGGAGGCAGAGAGGCAGCGAGGAGGCAGAGAGGCAGCGAGGAGGCAGAGAGGCAGCGAGGAGGCAGAGAGGCAGCGAGGAGGCAGAGAGGCAGCGAGGAGGCAGAGAGGCAGCGAGGAGGCAGAGAGGCAGCGAGGAGGCAGAGAGGCAGCGAGGAGGCAGAGAGGCAGCGAGGAGGCAGAGAGGCAGCGAGGAGGCAGAGAGGCAGCGAGGAGGCAGAGAGGCAGCGAGGAGGCAGAGAGGCAGCGAGGAGGCAGGCGAGAGAGGCAGAGAGGCAGCGAGGAGGCAGAGAGGCAGCGAGGAGGCAGAGAGGCAGCGAGGAGGCAGAGAGGCAGCGAGGAGGCAGAGAGGCAGCGAGGAGGCAGAGAGGCAGCGAGGAGGCAGAGAGGCAGCGAGGAGGCAGAGAGGCAGCGAGGAGGCAGAGAGGCAGCGAGGAGGCAGAGAGGCAGCGAGGAGGCAGAGAGGCAGCGAGGAGGCAGAGAGGCAGCGAGGAGGCAGAGAGGCAGCGAGGAGGCAGAGAGGCAGCGAGGAGGCAGAGAGGCAAGCGAGGAGGCAGAGAGGCAGCGAGGAGGCAGAGAGGCAGCGAGGAGGCAGAGAGGCAGCGAGGAGGCAGAGAGGCAGCGAGGAGGCAGAGAGGCAGCGAGGAGGCAGAGAGGCAGCGAGGAGGCAGAGAGGCAACGAGGAGGCAGAGAGGCAGCGAGGAGGCAGAGAGGCAGCGAGGAGGCAGAGAGGCAGCGAGGAGGCAGAGAGGCAGCGAGGAGGCAGAGAGGCAACAGGGAAGCAGAGAGGCACAGGGAAGCAGAGAGGCAGCGAGGAGGCAGAGAGGCAGCGAGGAGGCAGAGAGGCAGCGAGGAGGCAGAGAGGCAGCGAGGAGGCAGAGAGGCAGCGAGGAGGCAGAGAGGCAGCGAGGAGGCAGAGAGGCAGAGAGGCAGCGAGGAGGCAGAGAGGCAGCGAGGAGGCAGAGAGGCAGCGAGGAGGCAGAGAGGCAGCGAGGAGGCAGAGAGGCAGCGAGGAGGCAGAGAGGCAGCGAGGAGGCAGAGAGGCAGCGAGGAGGCAGAGAGGCAGCGAGGAGGCAGAGAGGCAGCGAGGAGGCAGAGAGGCAGCGAGGAGGCAGAGAGGCAGCGAGGAGGCAGAGAGGCAGCGAGGAGGCAGAGAGGCAGCGAGGAGGCAGAGAGGCAGCGAGGAGGCAGAGAGGCAGCGAGGAGGCAGAGAGGCAGCGAGGAGGCAGAGAGGCAGCGAGGAGGCAGAGAGGCAACAGGGAAGCAGAGAGGCAACAGGGAAGCAGAGAGGCAACAGGGAAGCAGAGAGGCAACAGGGAAGCAGAGAGGCAACAGGGAAGCAGAGAGGCAACAGGGAAGCAGAGAGGCAACAGGGAAGCAGAGAGGCAACAGGGAAGCAGAGAGGCAACAGGGAAGCAGAGAGGCAACAGGGAAGCAGAGAGGCAACAGGGAAGCAGAGAGGCAACAGGGAAGCAGAGAGGCAACAGGGAAGCAGAGAGGCAACAGGGAAGCAGAGAGGCAACAGGGAAGCAGAGAGGCAACAGGGAAGCAGAGAGGCAACAGGGAAGCAGAGAGGCAACAGGGAAGCAGAGAGGCAACAGGGAAGCAGAGAGGCAACAGGGAAGCAGAGAGGCAACAGGGAAGCAGAGAGGCAACAGGGAAGCAGAGAGGCAACAGGGAAGCAGAGAGGCAACAGGGAAGCAGAGAGGCAACAGGGAAGCAGAGAGGCAACAGGGAAGCAGAGAGGCAACAGGGAAGCAGAGAGGCAACAGGGAAGCAGAGAGGCAACAGGGAAGCAGAGAGGCAACAGGGAAGCAGAGAGGCAACAGGGAAGCAGAGAGGCAACAGGGAAGCAGAGAGGCAACAGGGAAGCAGAGAGGCAACAGGGAAGCAGAGAGGCAACAGGGAAGCAGAGAGGCAACAGGGAAGCAGAGAGGCAACAGGGAAGCAGAGAGGCAACAGGGAAGCAGAGAGGCAACAGGGAAGCAGAGAGGCAACAGGGAAGCAGAGAGGCAACAGGGAAGCAGAGAGGCAACAGGGAAGCAGAGAGGCAACAGGGAAGCAGAGAGGCAACAGGGAAGCAGAGAGGCAACAGGGAAGCAGAGAGGCAACAGGGAAGCAGAGAGGCAACAGGGAAGCAGAGAGGCAACAGGGAAGCAGAGAGGCAACAGGGAAGCAGAGAGGCAACAGGGAAGCAGAGAGGCAACAGGGAAGCAGAGAGGCAACAGGGAAGCAGAGAGGCAACAGGGAAGCAGAGAGGCAACAGGGAAGCAGAGAGGCAACAGGGAAGCAGAGAGGCAACAGGGAAGCAGAGAGGCAACAGGGAAGCAGAGAGGCAACAGGGAAGCAGAGAGGCAACAGGGAAGCAGAGAGGCAACAGGGAAGCAGAGAGGCAACAGGGAAGCAGAGAGGCAACAGGGAAGCAGAGAGGCAACAGGGAAGCAGAGAGGCAACAGGGAAGCAGAGAGGCAACAGGGAAGCAGAGAGGCAACAGGGAAGCAGAGAGGCAACAGGGAAGCAGAGAGGCAACAGGGAAGCAGAGAGGCAACAGGGAAGCAGAGAGGCAACAGGGAAGCAGAGAGGCAACAGGGAAGCAGAGAGGCAACAGGGAAGCAGAGAGGCAACAGGGAAGCAGAGAGGCAACAGGGAAGCAGAGAGGCAACAGGGAAGCAGAGAGGCAACAGGGAAGCAGAGAGGCAACAGGGAAGCAGAGAGGCAACAGGGAAGCAGAGAGGCAACAGGGAAGCAGAGGAGCAGAGAGAGCCGAGCAGGGAGAGCAGAGAGAACGAAGGGAAGCAGGGAGCGGCGGGGCAGAAGGGGAAGCAGAGGGATAGCTCACCTGCGGTGTGGCGGCGGGTGCCAAAGCTACCAGCCTCTGCGTCAGAGAGGCTGCTGTCGTTGGCCTGCATTATGCGCCGCGCGTACTGCTGCCCGCCCGACTCCACCGACAGCGTCCGCGAGTCCCGGATGTGCCTCCGTGCCAACGACGCTGCCGGCCCCGCCGCCGCAACCGCCCCTGCCGCTCCCCCTCCCCCTGCCCCTCCCGGTCCCATATGGTCGTCCTTCCCCGCACCTCCACCACCCCTCCTGCTGCTCCTCCCCCGCCCCCTCCCCCTGCTGCTCCCCCCGGCCCTGGCCAGGCGAAGGCCGGTGAGTCGTCATCACGGTCGTTCTCCCACGCCTGCAGGAAAATCTGCTCGTTGCTGTCTAGCAAATCACGCGGGCTCTCCACGTCAGCATGGTCCCCACCGTCCCCACCCCCTCCTCCCCCTCCCCCTCCGCCTCCCCCGCCGCCTCCCTTGCCCGTGCGTGGGGCTGCGACAGCCAATCATCCTCTCGGGCGCTCCCTCGTTCCACAGCGGACCGGCTGCCTGCGCCGCCCCGCCCCGCTGCTGGCCCCTGCCGCCCGGGCGGCTGCTGCATCCCCCTGCGCCTCCGCTACCGCCGCCGCCGCCCAGGCGGGTGCGGGCGGCGAGGGCGCGAGGGGAGATGAGCTGCTGAACTGCCGACCCGTTGGGGACTGGGGCGAGGCGCAGCAGGGGGGCAGGGGAAGGGGAACAAAGGGACAGGGGGGACAGAGAAGCGGGAGGGTGGCAGGGGGGCAGGAAAGAGGAGCAGGGGGGAGGGGCAGGGGGGAGGGGCAGGGGGGAGGGAGGGGCAGGGGGATAACAGGGGGTAGGAACCGGGAGGGCAAGAACTCAGGGGGGGCAGAAGGGAGAAGCAGCAGTAACGATAGGACGAACAGCGGGGGTGGAAGGGCAGGTGGGCAATGGGGGAGGGTAAGATGGGGACAGAGGGGTGGAGGGGGGCAAGGAGATATCAGCTAATGAACAAATTGAGCAAGTGAATACCAGGAGGCGGTCGTCAGATAGTCACTGAAGAAGGAAAAGCGAGTGGAGCAAGCAGAGGGACTAAAGTGGAGGGAGGCAGCACAGTGCGAATTGGGTACACACACACACACACATTCATCACTGCAACCCCATACACTCACCAACCCACCCACGCCCCCATCAAGCCATCACCCCACCCACACACACCCATCACCCACACGCTGCTCACCTTCGTCATCCCACCCATCATCCACCATCCCGCCCACATCCCTCGGGCTCATTCTCCCCGACGTCCCAGGCGAGATCGGGGGCGACCCTCTCAACCCCCTTCCCCCTCCGCCCCCTCCGCCCCCTCCCCCCGCGCCCCCTCCGCCCGCCCCCGCGCCCTCCCCTTCCCCACGAGCCCGTGGCGCTGGTGATACTCATGCAGCTTGCGGAAGAGCGTGCGGATGCGGTCCGTTGAGGCCAGCTGCTGCGGGTACAGCCCGTCCCTGTTGCGCGCGTACATGTTGGCGCCTGCTACCAGCAACAGCTTGATTATGCCCCTGGAGGGTTGAGGGTTGAAGAGGGAGAGGGGGGGGGGAGCGAAGGGGCGGAGGGGGGGTAGAGGGAAGGGAAGGAATGGGATGGGACCTGTGCGTTGCAACACACTCCCAGCTCACTTGTGCCTCATTGCAGTACCTGTGGCCAGCAGCACAAGCATAGTGCAGCGCGGTGTGCTGCTTGGCGTCCTTGATGGCTCACACACAGGCCCACCAGCACAGCACCACACCCGCAACGCACCTCTGGCCCACCAACAACACAACGCACCTGTGCCTGCCTCATGATCGCATCGCATGCACTTGAGCCTTACAACACACTCTCACTGCTGTATGTACCTGTGGCCAGCAGCGCAGGCGTAGTGCAGCGCGGTGTACCGCTTGGCGTCCTGCACGTTGATGACTCAGAAGCCTACCGCCTAAACACCCGTGCCGCATGATTGCACCTGAGGCCTCACACACTCCCAACACGCCTGTGCCTGTGCCTCATGACCGTGCCTGTGCCCCATGGCTGTACCTGTGCCCGGCGGCGCAGGCGTAGTGCAGCGCAGTGTACTGCTTGGCGTCCTGTGCGTTGATGTCCGCGCCGTGCGACAGCAGCAGCGTGACCATCTTGTCGTTGCCCGTCTGCACCGCGTACATGATGGGCGGCATCTGTGTGGAGGGGAGAGAGAGGAGTTGGGGGAGCAGAGCACCAGTGAGGGCCACGGGAGGGGCGTGAGCAGCAGCAGCAGCGTGACCATCTTGTCGTTGCCCGTCTGCACAGCGTACATGATGGGCGGCATCTGTGTGGAGGGGCGGAGGGGAGGGGGAGAAGGAAGGGAGAGTAGCAGTGAGGGCCACAGCAGGGGAGTGAGCCACCGCAGCAGCGTGACCATCTTGTCGTTGCCCGTCTGCACCGCGTACATGATGGGCGGCGGACGGGGGAGGAAGGAGAGGGGAGGGGAGGGGAGGGGAGGGGAGGGGAGGGGAGGGGATTGGAGGGGAAAAGCGGGTAGAAGAGGGGAGGGGAAGGGAGGGGAGGGGGTGAGGGGAGAGACGGGCGGAAGGCATGAGCAGCAGTGAGGGCCACACCGCAGGAAAGGGGAGAACGACAACAGCAACGTAACCTTTTCTCATGCTGCTCTCTGCCTCACTCGCTCACCTGCGCGGACTGCCCGCCGTCAGGGTCAGCGCCCCACTCTAGCAGCGCGGACTACCTGCGCGATAAGCACCCCCCCCTGCCCGCCGTCTCACCTGCGCGGACTGCCCGCCGTCAGGGTCAGCGCCCCACTCTAGCAGCGCGCCCGCCGCCTCCGTGCTGGACGCCACCACCGCCTCGTGCAGCGCTGTGCGCTGAGAGGCTGGTGGGGGGAACGGGGGGACGGGTGGGGGAGGGGGAACGGGAGGGAGGAGGAGGTGGGGAAGAGGGGAGAAAAGGGGAAGCAGCGGAGTGAGGGCGCGTCCGTGCTGAACGCCACCTTCGCCTTGTGCAAGGCCATGCGCTGAGAGGCTGGTTTGGAAGGGGTGGGGGGAAAGGGGAGAAGGTGGGGTGGGGGTGAGCGGTGTGGTGGGGTTGGGGGTGAGGGGTGGGGGGAGGAGTGGAATAAGAGCCCCTCCGTGCTGCACGCCACCATGGCCTCGTGCAGAGCTGTGCGCTGAGAGGCTGCTTGGTGGGGGGGGGGGGGGGGGGGGGGGAGGGGGAGGGGGTAAAGGGGAGAAAGGGGAGAGCAGATGAGTACGAGCGCCTCCGTGCCTCAAAAGTAGACAGCTCGTGCAGGCCCGCGCGATCACCAGCTTCTACAGGGAGAAGGGATTGGGGGGAAAAACGAAGAGGGGCTGGGTGGGTGAGGGACGGAGGAGGAGGAGAAGGAGGAGGAGGAGGAGGAGGAGGAGGAGGAGGAGGAGGAGGAGGAGGAGGAGGAGGAGGAGGAGGAGGGAGGAGGAGGAGGAGGAGGAGGAGGAGGAGGAGGAGGAGGAGGAGGAGGAGGAGGAGGAGGAGGAGGAGGAGGAGGAGGAGGAGGAGGAGGAGGAGGAGGAGGAGGAGGAGGAGGAGGAGGAGGAGGAGGAGGAGGAGGAGGGGGGGGGTGGTTGTGTAAAGGTCGCCTTGAGCAGCGGGTGTGTGTGCATCAACGTGTGCTGAGTGGTCTCTGCCAGGGAATAAAGGTTACCTAACGAACAACGTTTTACCTGGACAGCCACAGATACACCTGGACGGGTTCTACCTGGATAAACAGTATTGAGCAGAGCGGTGCGGGACGGCGCCTCCTGCAGGACCACGTTGACCAGGTCAACGTCGTTCTCCCGCACCGCCTCCATCAGCTCCGCCACCCGCCGCATGTGCTCCGCCTCCCCCCGCGACGCCTGGAAGCTTCCCCCGATGCCTCCGCCCCCGGGCCCCCCGCCTGGCCCCCCTGCGCGGGCGGTGGCGCTGCTGGGCTGCGCGGAGGGCGTGGCGACCTTTACCATGCGGCGGGGGCTCAGAGAGTCCTGGCGCGCGCAGGGGACGGGCGGAGGGCGGAGAAAACCGGCGGAGGGGAGATGCGCAAGGGGGGAAGGCATTCCGTAACCGGGTGAGAGCGCACGACGGAGGGAATAGGCGGAGGAGGAGGTTCACTAGCGAATCGGGGAATAGAGCGCCACGAGGCATGAAAAGCGGCACAAAATTAGGGTTTGCGCAATCACGATTGGCCGGCCAAGACGGCAGAGCAGAGCTATGGCGGAAGGACTTCTCGACTCATCAGGCATTTGAATTGAACGCAAAAGATAGATTGCAGGCTGGACTGTGTCGAAAGCTAACAGCTTGCTGGCTGAACCGAGTCGAAAGCTAACGGCTTGCTGGCTGAACCGTGCCGAAAGCTAACGGCTTGCTGGCTGAACTGTGTCGAAAGCTAACGTCTTGCTGGCTGAACTGTCGCGATCACACGCCGCGGCTACAGTGGGGAAAGGCACAACCACGTGACTTTACAGTCCGATTTGAAGAGTCGCAGAACCATGTGCGAGAGATCACGAGAAGGGTAAGGGGAAATGGGAGCGACAAAAGGAGTGATAAAGACAAGAAAGCAATTTTGCGTGTTGTAAGAGGAGCCCACGAATGGAATCGCCGACTTCGTTCCCACGCGGCGAACATGGCGAAACTACTCTGGCGCGTACCGCGGCACTTCAAACAAAAAGGTCTGGCGGATGAGATCGATAGAAACCCCATCACGGGCCGGTGATAGGGAACGCCGCGTACGACAAGCCAAAGGGCAAGGAGACTGACACATGAACGCGAGCGGGGAGTCTGATACCCTTGATACCAACCAATAATCACTTCAAGCCGTTTAACATACGCGGCAGATTTAACCTAATTGTACGTGAAACTGTGATAAAGAAACAGAAGTAAAAGTAGAAGCAGACCCGCAAGTACCAGCAGCAGCACGGCAACCGACCGACCATATCGACGCCTGCTTTCGACTCGCCTCAAACACGGGCCTTTCGACGCGCACCAGCGACTGACCTTCCTGCCGGCCTTAATCATGTCGGCGTCCAGGCGAAGCGCGGCCGGCCGGCCGTACCCCGCCTCGTTGGAGCTCGCCGCCCGCCGCGGCTGAAGGTCCCCCGCGTGCTCCGCGCGGCCTCCTCGCTCCCCCGACTCCCCAGAGTGGCTCTCGGACCGTCCATGAATGGCATTGCGCAGCGGCGACGTACTTCCGTGATATCCGCCGCCTCCTCCGCCGCCACCCCCGGCGGGGATCGTTATTCTCCTCTGGCCGCCGCCTCGGTTGTCTGCGGAGTCGTCGCCTTCTGTAAGCTGATGGCCCTCCTGCACCGTGCGAATCGGCGTGCGACCGGCTGGCCGTCGCACATGGTCGCCCGCTCGGCCGGGAGCGACTCCCGGGTTGGTGGGGGAGATCAAATCCTCCGGGTATTGGATTCCGCGAGGAGCGGCCACGTAAGCAGGACCGCGGTTTCGCGGAAAATGGCGCTGCGGACTTAAGTCTCCGTCAGTTACGACTCGAGACATCGCGGCTCGATTATAACTTAACCTTAAAATGCTACTGCTCTAGTCTCTGGCATCTTAAATATTGTAGAACAACCGCGACTAAGTGTCCATTTGCTTTAGTCGTACGATAACACTTACGCCTTACGATAAATATTACTCTCCAGCTAAGCAATAACCTAACGTCGGGCGCGAATGGTGGGACAGTTCCATAACAACCAGGCCGACACTATTCCACACAACTGACAACCAGGAAACATAAAGACACTCAACGCCTTATCCAATCATAATGGCGGCTCCACGTGCAAATCTCGGAACTAGGTGCGTTGAAGGGGCTCCCTTGTGGGTAGGCTCGAAGTTGTGGTTGAGGTGGGACCGTAGGTGGCAGGCGTGGAGGCATGGAGGAACAGGGGAATGGCGAGGAGTCCAACCTTGGGAGTGTGTGGTTGCAGGAGAGCCCAAGGTCAGTAGAGAAACCGACGAAGCATCAGGTGACGATAGGTCATGCTCAGAAAAATATTGGGCAGGTTGTAGGAGAGTGTAGTGCGTGGGTCGGGTTACTCGGGCCGTGTTGGAGTATCGCTATTAATCAGGTTCTGGAGGGGTGTTTCAGCATGTGATTCCGCCTTGTCTGTAACAGGCCTAAACGAGGAATTATTTTCTAATGAAAATGAAAATGAAGGCTGCCTAGTACCTGTCGAGTTTTGAGGAGCACTACCCACGGTCCATACGGGCTATGTACACATGGAACACTCTTCGGAGCATTAGGGCAGCAGGGGAAATTGACATGTTACTTGAACACCGTAACGTACTTGAGCGCATAGCACCGTCTTCAACCTTAGGGAAAGCACATCGGGCGAAATGCTGCTGGAACAGACATTCTCTCAGGGGTTCAATTTGGTACAAAAGGTCAACTTCAAGCCTACACTATGTCACATGTGCAATGGAACGAGCTAGTTATAATTGCATGGGTCAAAGTAAAAGTAATAGCGTGAGCTTAGGCATGAGCAAACATTATATGACGAACAGAAGTTTTCAATGATTTGTCCTTGCCGATATTTGAAAATTCCGTGCATTTTGTTGGAAAACTAAAACCCTAAATTATATAAATCAACTTCATTGTGGTTTTCGTTTAGCTTATGCGTTAAAACTAGGATCTCAAGTAGTTTGGCTCTGTTACGAATAGTAATACTCGAATGTTACTGTGCACTCCTCACCGCAGCAAAGAGAAGCATGCAGTATCGAGAACGAACGCGAAGAGTCAGACGGTTAAGAATTGACTCGAAGCGTCAGACGGTTACAGCACATCTGGATCGTCGGAACAGACGGCATTGGACAACTGCAGGCAGGATGGTTTTGGTGGGAACAGTTTCATAACTGTACGGTTGGGGATGCATTTGAATAAGGGAATGTACCCCTTAGAATACATGGCTAGTTAGGTTGTTTCTTCGTATTCCCCTGTACTCTTATTTATATCGTTGTATTTGCATGTTTTTATCATCTCAAGCATTTTACTGTCAGAGGTCCACTGGTGCTCCCCGATTGATCCTAGGGAAGGTTACAGGCACGTTGGCCTGAGGGGTTATGGGCGCACTCACCCGCTACACAAACAAGCCCTTTTATCCCAGTGGTTAGTGGCTGTGATTCTGACATGGTATCAAAGCGAAGGTCTCGGGTTCGAATCCCGGTGTATGCACTTCGGGCATCGCAGTGCGGGGGGGGGTGTCAGAGGTCTACTGGTGATCCCCGATTGATCCTAGGGAAGGGTTACAGGCACGTTGGCCTGGGGGGTTATGGGCGCACTCACCCGCTACACAAACAAGCTCTTTTATCCCAGTGGTTGGTGGCTGGGATTCTGACATTTACATTCACTCTGCTATTGAGGTCAAGGGCCCACCAACACTACCTTACTGTGTGCGAACCTTCCTGAGTAGATCCTGGTGACGATCAACACTTGATCGCAGCATGGTATGAGAGCGGCTCGGGAATCCTTCGCACTGCCACTCCCGAAAATTGCGACATTCGGAAAGTGGCGTCCGGCACACGATCGCGTGTGAGAATGGCCGGAGGATCTGGTGGTCAGACCAATCTGAAGCACGACGACCCAATCCGGCTGCGACAAGCGACAAGCGAAAACACGACGACGATCGGCACCGAAGTCCTCGCACAACTTCTTCAGCGACTCACCAACCTGGAGCAAGGGCTCCAAACATTGCGGAACGGCGACGCGGGAACATCCTCGCAACCTTCTCAACCGGCCCCAACCAGCCAGAACGTCGCCCCACACACATTCTCCCTCGACACCAATGGCTCAACCCCCAAGGCTCCCCGTCCCAGTGAAGAGGCAATTCTTTCTGCTCAATCAAGGTTTCTCAGCATATCAAAAATAAAGACAAGTACCTGTTTTGACGGCAGAGATTTTTATACCTGGAGCTTCGAACTGGAGCTCCTGCTGCAGAACGCCCAAATCTTCCATTACATCGACGGGAGCTACGCGGAGCCCGCTGAGGACACCAACGACGCCAGGACTCGCTACTACAACGAGTCTCTGATGGCGTACGGAGTCCTCCTGCGCAACATGTCGCCGGCGGAGCAGCTCAACATTCGTTCGTACAAGACATCGGCTGCTCCAGCCCTCAACGGTGTGTATCAGCCGAAGGACTCAGTCTCTTCAAGCCGGCTACTCGAGTAGTTACTGGAGACCAAGATGACCTCAGGGGAGAAGGTCAACAGCTACATCAATCGCTGCCGGAGCCTTCGCGACCAAATCGCGAAGTTGGGAAGCTCGATTTCGGAAGAAATCTTCGTCAACATCGTGCTTCAAGGGCTCGGCCCAGAGTGGCGGCCCTGCAAGGCGCTTCTCCGACAGCAGGGGGTCATCTCGGAGGCCGCCCTTTGCGCCGCCCTTCTCGTCGAACAGAGGGATATGGATCAGCAGCGACCAGCGCCACGACGAGAAAGAGAACGGCTCGCCTTCTACGCCGACAACAACGAAGAGCGAAGACCGCGGCGCCTCTACTGCAAAATCTGCAGAACCTTCGGGCACTTGGCGGATCGATGTAAATACCGATCTCTCCCTCGCCAGACCAATCTGAACAACTGGTCCGGCCGACAAGACGTACGAGGCGACGTGCGTCCAGCCCAGGGGTATCAACCCCCACCCGCGCGCAACCTGAACCCAGCGGTTCAGCATCAGCAGCAGCAGCCGTCATCGACTGCCCCAGTTCGCAACATCATAAGCAACATGGCCATGACAGGCGAGTCGCGTCGTCGCCGCGTGCGCTCACCTTCACCTGAGCCAGCACCGCACCCCATTGGCTCATTTAACAACAATAACCCATTCAGTCCGCGCCACGACTTCACCGACGACGACGACCAGGACTGGAATCTTCCAGTCCCGCTGCTTGAAAGTCCCCCGCACGTACCTGATATGCGGGTGGCGCCACTTGATTGGCTCTCGCGCGAGCAATTTCTAAAGTTCGACACTCCGCATATCGTCACGCCGCGACTGGCGCTGCTCGCACGTGACGACAACAAGCGCTACAACACCTGGTACCTGGACAGCTGCTGCGGCCAGCACATGGTGGGCTCGGAGCGTTACATATCCAACGCCGTCGCCACCCCCACAGTCACTTACGTCACTGTGGCGAACAACACGCGCCTGCGCGCAAGCGCGCAAGGCATCGTCGTGCTCAAAGCACGCGGAAGCCGCACGCACATCACACTTAATGATGTGCTGATCGTCTAGAACCTGCGCTTCAACCTCCTTTCCGCCGCACAGCTCATGGACTGCGGCGTTGACCTCAGCACGGATCGCGCGACGCGCGACATTCTGCTGCACTACGAATCGCGCACCTTTCCCCGCAGGCAGATCGGACGAGCACACTCCGAAAATGGAGTGTATGTCCTGGATTTCGACATCCCCGACTGCAGCGGCGACTCGCACGAGTTAATTGATCTCGTGCCACTGCGCTTCGAGCACATCCACCGCAGGGATTGGAAACACCCTGACGGCAGGCCGTGGGTGCCGCATCATCCCCACCCACGCGAAACTGCGCTGCACGACCCCGACCCAGACGGCATCTGCAGAGACTGTCACACGCCGTCGGCGTCAACCAGCGCCATTGCCGGCCGCGGACTCGCCGCCATCGCCGAAGCAGAACGTCATGCGCCGCCAGAGGAAGGAATGTCTCAGCTCGAGCTTGAGGTCACCACTCGCCGCGTGTTTGGCGCCGACCAAAGCCACCACGCCGGCCCACCCTCACAGCGGCTCGAACACATTCTGCGCGGACAACGCCGCGGAACCTTGGACTCACGCGGAGTCGCGCGCCCTTACACCCTCGAAGAAAATCTGCAGGTGTACCCCCACTGGCGCGACCCTGCGGCAAAGCTTACCGTGGAACACGAGGAAGCACTGGCGCACCACGAAGCAGAGGAACTTCGCCAACAAAGTCTCGCCGAAGCGCGTGGGACATTCGCTTGCGGCACATCGGGAGCCGAAGCGGAAGAAAGCGCCTCCAATGAAGGGGGGTGAGGAAGCGCCGGCGGCTGGGAAGCGAGAAATACCGGCGGATGGGGAGACAACGGCGGAACCTGGGCCAACGCAAGCGGCGGATGGGGCGCCGCAACTGGCTCCGACAACAGCGGCTGGGGAACTTCACGCGAAGAACGAAGGGGGGGAGAGGATGAAACAGAGGAAACTGACGCAACACCTGCAGTCGTTCCCCTTGGTCGTCCCCCGCGCCATATTCCTCTCGCATTACCTCCTCCTGGCAATCCCCCAGGTCGCGACCCATGGGATACCATCGTTTGGGGCAACGAGCCGTCAACCCCGCGTCGCACCGTCTACGGACCTGCCCCTGAGCCACGCGAACCCACCTTCGTCCCTGGAACCATCCCTGGGACCAACATCCCGCTCTCTGAGATCCGCGACAGAGAGTTTCTGGCGCTGATGCTGACCACCGCGGCAGCAGGAGAAGATGCAGAGGAAGCAGCAGCAGAACCCGCTACCGTACCTGACGAAG